GTCTAATAAACCCCAGCAAAGCAAGGCTAGTGGAGGGGTAACAATCTATTACATCAGGTTTGGGGCATGAGGGAAACAAAGAGAGCTGGAGGAGTATATAGAGGCCACTATTAATTGAAACAATACATTAAAGAGACAACACAAAAGATAATGCATGCAGAAATGTGTAAAAAATACTATTGAACCATAGATTATGAGCCATTTTTTCTCCTCTTTTTATTAAATGCAGCTGATCAAAGCGCTGATAAGTCCTAGGCTTAAGCTGTCCTGCGGGTAAGGAGACTATTTTAGGGCTTTAAATTGGTCTTTTTGTAAAACAGTCTAACTTCCATTAGAATAACAAATGCACAAAATGACGTCTTGTCTTACCCTAAAAATTGATCTAGAGTGTGTTTGTGAAACCAGCCCTTGTCTAGAGGAGACTGAAAGCGGAAGGCTCTACCTCCTATTTTGCAGTCTCATCGTGATATGCTCTGTTGGGATAATATGTTATTAGCGGGTAACATAACATCTCAAGGCCAATGGAGGAGTACAAGAGAGTCTTTGCGGTCTGATTTACATATTTCTGACTCAGGGCTGCTTAGGTGCTGTGCATCCCTGTCGTCCCTGAAGCAGCCAATCAGTAAAGCCCAGCAAACATGTGAGAATACCAAGCAAAACAGGTGGTTGTATGAGCCGCCCACATAATCATTAACTCCTTGCGTTGGTCACGCTATTATAGTGTTTTCTCCGCTGTTAAAGGTATCAGATTGTCGGCAGCTGTTTAACTGCAGTGATGACGGAAGAAAAGCCGCAGAAGCTCAAACTAAAGCGGGAGCTGGGGATGCTGGGAGCCGTGTCCCTCATCGTGGGGACGGCGGTCGGATCTGGGATCTTCATGACCCCACAGACGGTGATCAGCTCCATCGGGAGCCCCGGTGCCAGCCTGGTTATATGGGCGTCTTGCGGCCTGCTGGCGATTCTGGCGTCTTTCTGCTACGCCGAGCTCGGCACAGTTATAAAAGAATCAGGGGGCGAGTACATCTACATTGTGAGGACTTCAGGTCCAGCGCTTGCCTTCATGTTTATCTTTAGCTCTGTGCTCCTTGTGAGACCTGCAGGCATTGCTGGCATAGGACTGAGTTTTGCTACCTATGTTGTGACTCCTTTCTACGGAGACTGCCCCCCTCCGGTGCTGGTGGTGAAGTGCGTGGCCGCAGCGGCAATTATCACGCTCGCCATCGTGAACTGCATGAAAGTTCGCTTTGCAATGTCAATCCAAATTTTCTTTACTGTAGTCAAAGTCTTGGCTCTGGCAGGGATTATCATAGGAGGTGTGGTGATGCTTATCAAAGGCCACACTGAGAATTTTGAAAACTCCTTTGAGAACACAAATGTTGGCGTCAATTCAATAGGAATTGCTTTCTACCAGGGGCTGTGGTCATACGACGGCTGGAACAATCTGAACTCAGTGACTGAAGAGTTAAAACGTCCCGAGGTAAGTGGGAGGGTCTTCAGAGGCTGACCCATGCCCTGACTGTAAAACACAATCACCCCGAATAAATAAGTAATGGGTTCTCTGCAGGGAGAAAATAATTTATTTTTATTTCTGAGAAATTTACAAATGTTTAACGTGAACTTTGAGCTGTAACCGGCTGAGACCTTTGTGTTGAGGACACAGAAGTACAGTAGCGACAGAGGTAATAAATAAACAAACGGTTTAATTTCAGATCTAACAGAAAGATTATCTGTTACTAGTGTGCATTATAACATCACATAAAGGAAAAACTTTTTTTCTGTTGATATTCTTCCTATTTCTAATCTTCCGGCAGCATAATAAGACCCTAAACTTAAATTAATAGTTTCTTATCATAAAACTTGTTCTGTTGAAACCCATTTTAATAAACAACATAATTTGAGTATAACTACTTTTTATTTCCCTTCAGCCATAACATGCAGATGAGGTATTCATCACGCAGGCGACGTAGACGCCCAAGTTTGTAAATGCAATACGACGTCGGAGTAGGCGTTGATTTAATTATTTGGTCAAATTAATCTGTTTAGTAATAAAGACCAAGTGAAAAAGAATATGATCACTTTTATATTTTTTTTTCTCTTATTAAGGAACATTGTACATGTATCACATTGTTATGTATTTAAACGGTTATAACCTGTTACTCAGTTCTGACACATTTTAAATCTTGGTACCTTTAAGAGTCAGCTTGTGTCAGGGTGGGTGTAGAAAAGAGGACTGTATGCAGGACTCCTTTGGGAGAAGACAGTGGATTTATTTACAGTGCGGTAAAGGTGCAACAGTTCAATAATATATATATATATATATTTAAAGTGATGGGTGCCCAGGTGTGGTCTCCTCCTTTTCCTCCTAGCAGTGCTCGTGGCCGTGAAGTGAAAACACGTAGCGACTCCTTCCAAACAGTTATCCCATGTGGCGGTCCAGCTCCCGTGATCTCTCTCTCCCTTTCCCTCCTGGTGGCAAACACACAAACACACACGGAGTAACTAAACAATCCTCAGATCAACGTAACTACCACAAAAACCATCCGCGCTGCTCTACCGTGCTTCACACAACGATCCAGCGCAGACCGAAGCTCGATCGCCCTGTTAAGAAGGCAGCCCGGGTGATGGCGGATAATTGGCTACAGCTGGTCGGCTCCGATCGACAACAGGTGCGGCCAGTCTCTGCTCGGGAACACTCTCGGGAATGCTCGTCACCGCTCGGAGGTAAACAATCCCGTTCCGAGAGAGAGAGGGAGAGGGGAAGAGAGCGACATGCACACAATAACACATGGGCAGGCAGCCAGGCGAGGGCTGTCTGACCATGACAGCTTGTAAATTTTCAGCCAATAAATTGTTATGTTGACCTTGAGGATAATTTAATGAGTTAATGTCTTACAAAGATGGATGTAGCCCAGATGTTGGATGATAGATTCATTTATTTGGTAACATGAGCCCATTAAATGATTATTGTGTTTTTCTCCTGAAGTCCAGATTCACTCTGTGCTCCTGTGTTCAGGCTTAGATCCGTTTGCATTTATCTATTTAGTTTATTCGGCTCTATTATATTTTTAATGTATTTATTTAAATGGGACAGTGCATCTTTATGTAAATATGTCAGAGTTAGCCAAACAGCAAACAGCAAGTCCAGCAAAAGCAATAGAAAAGACATTTAACACAACATCAGACAGTGAACAAGAAGCTTGCTCAGACAACAACAATATTAGAGGCTGTTCTTTTCTTTCTAAACATTCAGCAGGGGATCAAATACATTATTCCTCCCCTATAAAAAAAAACAACTCTTTTCCCTTTCAGAATATAACAGAATAATAGTTACTCATTTTCCTAATGTATTGGTCCACACTAGTTTATCCCAGAGTAGACAAATATTTATAGGAATTGGTTTCCTGATAAGATGTAGCTCAGGATTAAAATCCCCAAATAAATATTTTTGAGTGCAACGGCAACTTTAAATCTGGTGTTTTGTGTGTTAGTTGGGGCATCTCGCAGCAAGAAATTGAGTGCCTTTAAACGGTTCATAATGCAAAAATCTTATCTCAACCCACAGTTTGCACTGGAGAGTTTGTGGTTTTGCAGGATTTACAGCGCTATAACCTGGTAGTTAGGGTTGTGCTAAGTCATGCAGAACTGCTCGTGCTGTTCATGTGAGCATATTGCTAAGCAGTTTTATTTTTCTCGTATTTTTATTTTTAGCTTTTTAGTTTCTGGAGTGGCAGTGGTTATTTAAGATTCTCTATTATTCATTCATTGCATAGTTATACATTTATTTTTGTTAAGCTACAGTGTAGCTTGCCATCACCAGTGTGTGAATGTGTGTGTGTGTGTGAATGGGTGAATGACTGAATGTAGTGTAAAGCGCTTTGGGGTCCTTACTAAGTAAAGCGCTGTACAAATACAGGCCATTTACCATTTTTTCCATTTAATGTTACTGTTTTATTACAAATGTATGGGTATTTCTAGTTTATATACATATATTTTTGTGCCCCCCAAAATATTTAGTTAGTTTTTATATTTTTCTACAGTACATAGTAACTACTAAAATATTTTTGAAACTATAACTAATAACGCGGAGCTAGGTAAAACACGTGAATTAAACACCTATAATTCAGAACTGAACATTGAAGTCATTTCTTCATATACAGATGGTGATACCGACCGCCTGTATTTTATTTATAAGTTGTTTTATTTTGAAAAGCTTATGTTTAAGTAGTTGAGTAATGAGAGAAAAAACACAGAGTAACTGCATTAAATGTGCACTCTGCTTTTTATTGACCAGGTTTTATCAGTTCTGAAAGTACACTGAGGACAGACTGAGCTGTGATGCATAGAATAACTTGACGTCTTTACTTGGCCATGTCCTTTCTATGATAACATTGTTAAGCAGATGTTCATGTCTTCTCTCAGATTAGGTATTTTTCTGCTGCCAGTAAAGCTCTCCAAACTATTCATTTAGGTCCAGACACAAGAAAACATTATATCGAGGACTGAAGACAGTCTTTCTCTGACTTTGAGGACACTAGTAGAATGCATTCGGTTTGCAGGGACTTTTACTGTAGAAAAGCAAGACTGAACTGATTTAAAACATGTATATTTTTAATGCTTTACTTCCCTGTCAGTGTTTTATACAAAACCTAAAATAAATTACTGCTTACGTGAAACCTAAGAGAAAAGAAGAACTTTAAACAGCCA